AATGAACTGTAGCTAAGATCACAGGCTCCTTATCTGCAAAAAGAGAGAATCTGCGATAAGCACTGCTCCAAACCAGAATTCATTTGAAAGATAAAATGCGGCAGCTCTGGGGCCTACGGCGAAGCCTCATTTCCTCTGTGCCCTGCCACCCAGCTGTCGCCTATGACTTCACTGGAACGGAGTACTCACCTCTAGTTAGCAAAACCTGAGGGAGTGATGCTTAATCTTTAGTCAGCAAAAGAATCCACTGACAATGTTGCTAAAATGTAGGTTCTTGGCCTGCACTCCCCGAAAATGCTGTCAAGGTACGTCTGGGTGAGGCTTAGGAACCTGCGTTTTAACAAGTAAAGGTTATTCGGATCCCCATCCCGAACTATTGGCTAAGGCTGTCATCCTCAAATTATTGGTTGAGACCTATTCTTTAAGTCTTGAAATCAGCTTAATGTGATTAGCATTTGAAAAGAAACAGAAAAAAACAAAAAATGTCAGTGTATCCTGTGCAGTGAATGTTTGGAGTCATCCATATACACGAGTGTGGGTGTATGTGTGTGCTGAACTGTGGGGCATGATATAGTTTGGATCATGCATCCTTGCTGAGAAAGTTGCAGAAGCAGTGGCCTAATGGGACGTGAGCATCACTTTCCTGTGACCCAGTCACTGTTCCCCCACCCGCACCCCAAGTTCCAAATCCCTCCAGCTCCAACTTCCTCCCACGTCTACACAGCCGAAAAAAGAAGTGAGGCTGCCTTTGTTCTCAGGTGTCAGGATGACAACTAACATTTTGGCTTCAGGAATGAATGTGGACGACCTGAAGGAAGGCCTGCCAAGACCATGTGGAGCCTCAGGCATAGCAGATGATGGGAAACGAGTGGAAACCATTTAGATCTGACCTGCAGTGGGGACCTTCCGAAGGTCTGAAGGAAGAGGAAGAGCAGCAGGAAGAAAGGGTAGGCAAAGAGGGCAAAGAGTGGAGGGTAGGTTGAGACCCCCAGAAACTGGAAGATAAGCCAATACTTCACTCCTTCCGTAGGAAGGTGATGTTAGTAACCCACCCTCAGGAGATGGCGTGGTTTTAGCCTTTTTCCCCCTAAGCAATGGGGCGTTTCCTTGCCCATTCATGCACATCATCTTGCTCCAACTTCTAGTGAAAATAACAAGATTTTTCAGGTGCTGGCCTGGACAGAACAGGTCCACACCTTGTTTTCATGGATACAGCCTCGACCATGTGACAAACAGCCACCAGAAAGATGACAACAGGGAAATAATACCAAGCATGTTTAGGACGCTGTGCTGTTTGTCTCATCCAGCCTCTCCACGCTGGTCTTTGCAGCCCCTTGGGAATTTTCCCACTAGGTCCACCTGGGAAAGGCTACCAAGGGGGCTCAGGGGACTAAAAATCATACCTCATTCTGATTGCTAAGCCGTGCACTCTGGCTTGAGTCACCTTGAACTTGAGGAAGGAGTGTTTTTCAAATTCCCTCTCCCTAAAAGAATGCCTTTTCCTAATTTTCACAAAGGTTTATTTAGTACAGGCTAGTAGCGCCCCCGTGGGAAAATAACTCAAGTCCATCAACAAGTCACTGTGCCTTTTCATGATGACACCCACATGCAAGACACAAGCACAATGACCAGTCTTTGTTCTGAGATAAGTAGCTTTTCTAAGGACCATTTCTCCTCTCCAGTACTTCAAAACTGGAGGATATGTTAAGCGACAAACATTTTGGGTGGCCTAGCAAAGTAACTGAATTCCTTGAAAAAGAACACAGACCCTAGATATGAGCATGAGCCACTCCAAGAGTTGCACAGCATCGGGCCACGAGCTCCTCTGCTACATCTTCGCTGAACCATTTCAGGGGTCTTAAAATGTCCAGGACACCACTGATTTTCGAGGGTCTTATTTTGTTGGAGATTAATTCAGAAAAAAAACTGAAGCTACCGGGGAAATGTACTTATTGTCCCTTTAGGGAATATGACTAAAACGAAGGAAAAAAGAAGCACCCTATTTGTTAGGTCAAGGTTGCCCATCTGTGTCTGTGACCTTGTGGTCTCCCAGTTCCAACCAGTCCATCCACTGCCACACATTATGCCAGTTAGTGGAAGATCCTTTTTTTTCTTTTTAACAAGATCCATTTTTTAGCAGAGCCCTTGTTTTAAACCTTAGCTATAACAATGTGCACATCCAATTCATTGTCATTATCTTTGCTAAATGCTCTCAGTGCAGGAGAGATGAAAGAGACAGTCTTTTGTATTCTGGCGATATCAATCATCTTCCTTTAAGGAGACTGCTTCACGCCGAGGAATGAGTCTATTTTATACTTGTACTTTCTCTATCCTGTGTAAGTGAGGGCTAAAAACACAAAGCATATAGCACTTAGTAGCCACTCAATACAAGATGGTACGCATTCTTTTTGGGGGTGAAGGGAGGTGGGTTATTGAGCATGTTCTTCTCTGCCTGGGCAGTAGAACTGGAGAGAAGAGGGGAAGGCAGTGTTCCCAGACCCTTGAGGGAATCTGTAGGCACCAGCCCTTGTTTTGATACAGCAGACTGGGCATTGAATATGCACCTTCTGCAATCTAATCAACACAGCAGTTCTTACGGACTAATGGTGTGTGTCAATTAGTGTATCAGGACATGTGATTTATCAAGAAGACACATCAATTCAGGATAACTAAATAAACAAGTTACTAATAACTTGTGGCATGGGGCTAAACCTCAGTCCTCATCCTAAAATGTCAGAAATATCTTTGCTTTTCTGTAAGTCTATAATTCCTCTTAACACACGGGGTCATGTTGGGACATTTGCATTCTCTTGGTGCAAATCTTTGACACCCCTTTGCACTTGCTTCTTTCTGTGCTTGGAACTGCCCACCCATCTACTGCCTTCCTCTGCATAGGCAACACCTACTTCCAGGAAGCCTTTTTTGTCCCCTCTCTGGTGGCTTCTGGTGGCTTAGGGTCCACCCTCTTTTTTTTTTTTTTTTTTTTTTAGTTTCATCTGAATTTAATTTTTTTTTGTATTTATTTTTAATTTTTTTTTTAATTTCAGAGTATTACGGGGGTATGACACTTTGGTTACATAAATTGCCTTTATCCCGCTTGAGCAAGAGCTACAAGCATGCCCATCCCCCAGACAGCATGCACTGCACCTGTTAGGTGTAAATTTACCCATCTCTTCCTCCCCCTCCCATCTGCCTGACACCCTATGAATGTTACTTCCCACATGTGCTCGTTAATGTTGATGGGTTAGTGCCAATTTAATGGTGAGTACATGTGGTGTTTGTTTTTCCCTTCTTGTGAAAATAGACTAATGGCCAACAAACATATGAAAAAATGCTCAACGTGTCTAATCATCAGGTAAATGCAAATCAAAACCACAATGAGATATCACTTATCTCCAGTGAGAATGGCCTTTATCAAAAAGTCCCAAAACAATAAATGTTGGCATGCTTGTGGAGAGATAGGAACACTCATACACTGCTGGTGGGACTGCAAACTAGTGCAACCTCTGTGGAAAGCAATACGGAGATACCTCAAAGAGATACAAGTAGATCTACCATTTGATCCAGCAATCTCATTACTGGGCATCTACCCAAAAGAACAAAAGACATTCTATAAAAAAGACATCTGCACTAGAATGTTTATAGCAGCACAATTCACAATTGCAAAGATGTGGAAACAACCCAAGTGCCCATCATCACATGAGTGGATTAATAAAATGTAGTATATGTATATCAAGGAGTCCTACTCAGCCATAAAAACAATGGTGAACTACCTATTGTATTACCCTGGAGGGTCCACCCTCTTTACCCCAAATCTGCCCAGACTTGCCTCTATTATTGTACTTACCCCATTATCTTCCTACTAGTTCCCAGACTGTCTCTTCCCTAGACTATGCGCTCCCTGGGGATTTGCAATATATTCTTTGAGTGGATGAAAGCACAATTTATATATTAGATGAATGGATGAATGAGTGGTGAAAGAATGAACCCAGGATGGGAACACACAGTTTAGAATCCAACTTCCCATACTATCCTTTCTTTTACCATATCCTTTGTCAGCTGCAAAATAAATAACTAGATTTTATATGGTAGTTAGGGAAATTGAGGTCTTTAGAGGAAAAAGGGAGTAGCTGGCCTATTACCTCCCCTGAATCTGACATTTTTTGCTCATCTGGATAAGACAAATAACTAATCTCTACTCAATAGATTATTAACTACAGAGGAGGTTTTTGTTCTCAAGAAAAGTGGGATAAGATTGTTACTATTTCATACACCCTTATATATTGGCAAAAAATAAAGCACTGGCTCTAGAAAAGAAAACAAGAAACACTCCCTTACCACTGCTCTCCTTGGCCCAGGGTTCTGCAACATTGTCACTTACATATGCCTTGTTTAAAGTCTGCTGGAAACTCTGGAATTCAGCTCTGTGTACAATAGTGGGTTTTCTTCGGCGAAGTAAAGTGAGGCAACTACCATAGTCAGGGATGGAACAAAGCCAGGTCTTACCCTGTCCTGGCCCAAGACATGTAACTTACATCTTGAAGAGAACTTCATGTCTCTGGAGTAACATAACCATCTCCTGTAAGTCTGTAATTGAGGATTAAGACTTCCCACAAGAACCAGACCCCCCTTTCCAGCAAAGCTAGGAGCAAGGAGTGTATGATGTTTAGAAAATCCTTCTGTCCTTCCAATGAGATTAGAATAATAGACTAATTCATCACAGCTCCATGTGACATTGGAGCCACACGTTTTTGTCAGAAGATTTTGGCCAGAAATATATTTTTGATAAATACATTGCTTGAAAGCCAATTTTTCTTGCTTTCTAGGATAACCTCCCAGGGATCATGTTTTGAGAACAAAGTCTGAAGATCTGCCTTTAAGTTTCTTTGCTTGGCTGAGCCCACCGGAGAATGTTGCCGCCATACTTACACTGGGGCATGCACACGATGCAGAGTGGCCACGAAATTTGACCGTAGGGAAAGAGAAGAAAGCTTGCTTACCTTGTGCAGCTCCACAGGAGTCGGGGACATGATCTCCTTTATTTCTTGTTTCATTTTTCTCAGGGTCACGGACTTCCTGCCCACATCTGAGGGCAGGGTGTTGCTCCGCGTTGTTTGGCTATAGTGTGGTCGCGGGCTGCTCCGTTCCTGGAAGCTGGCCTGTCGCCCCAGCTGACTGCGAGGTGTTGGAGCCTCATGATTCAAACTCATCGTGCTCCCCGACATGATTGTTGCCTGTGGCATTGACAATTTTCAGAAACAATTAAGCTATGGACTAAGAAAAGGGTTTAGTTGCTCAACATTAAGCACATTTCTCCTTCTGCTCAGTCAAAATACAGTCTCTTCAGGGCATAACCAAAGGCTGGAGAATGGACGTACTAATTGAACTATGAAAGTCTGGAAAATGCTTTGCAAGTGACATTTATAATGCACATCTCAAATCCAATTTAAGTACTTAAGCCATTGAGTTTATTTAATCAAATACCACCCCTGGCAGTTTTGAGGCAAATTGAAAAGCTCTAACATTTGCTTACTGCAAACTACATTTTAAGTATTAACTTTCCACTGAGTGGCTCTAACAGATGGGATTCACGAGGCCACCTTCGATTTATCTTCCAGAAATGAACGAAGAACTTCTCAGCGGGGCCCAGGCTGCCTCTATTTGCAGCACTGCCTCTAGCTGCAAGTGGAGCTAACTCTTGGCTGGAATAGGATGACTGACACCAAGGCAAGGCGTTCTCCCCAAGATTCCCGTCTAGCACTGCGTGCTGTCTTTCCTTTGGCCATGTGGCCTGTCTCTGAAGCTTGTAGACCAGCTAGGCCTCCACATCATTTGGTATAGATCAGTGTTTCTTAGAGATGGTCTTTGTGTAAGATCCTCAAAGAGATGAAAAAATAATAATTTCTTATGTTCTTGTATTCAACCCTTTGCCCAAAAGCTATGAGACTTGGGTGGGATTTCACCAGTGAATTGGGGAGTCTGTTCAGTTTCAAATATGTTCCCCGCATAATTCACAAGCAATGGCAAGATTAGATCCCAAAGGTGACTCTCAGAACTGAAATGAAAAAAGGTTTGAAACCTATTATCACATCGGAGGTGTTCATTTCTCATGGTTAGAAGATGCTGAAATTCTGCGAATATGCCTGTAGCCAGCTCTGTACTCCTAGATGTGGTGGTATATAAAGGTAAACTAGCATTGGTAAATCTGTCTGAAACCATGGCAACAGAAAATAAGTCCCATGTACCATGTGACTGGCTGCAATAAGATTTAGTTGCTTATATTAATACCGATGCTAAAACAACACAATTAATTTAATTCTGTTAAACAAATTCTTAATTTGTTGAGTGCTCTGAATGTGTTCACTCATTGAAGCCTCACAATAACTCTATGAGGTAGGCACTGTTACTCCTCTTAATTTATAGGTGAGGAGACTGAGACACAAAGAGACTGACTCACCCAAGGTCTGTAGGGGGTAAGTGAGCAGGTAGTAAGGGCCGAGGGCACTTTACCAAACTATTGATCGGGAGGGAACACTGCAAAGTGAGTAGAGTTTTCATTTGTCATCTCTCTAAGATTTCAGAATTCTAAAATTTACCTACTGTTCAGCTATATACACACTATTAATAAGATCTTTGAATAACTGCCAAGCATTGGCACACATGTACATACATCTAATGACTCTGTTGAAAAAGACACAAAACAAGTAAACTTATCAATATCCTAACTAGATCAGTTACCTCATTGATAATTTTGAAAAAGAAAATCATAACTGTAAAAAAAAATTTGCTGATCATTAGATATTAACATGTGCTAAGTCCCATATATACTATGGGTAGAATATCATTTAATACTTAAGTAACCCTACAGATATTAGGTAGATATTAAAATTATTATACCTCCCATTTCAGTTAAGAAAATGGGTCGAGTATTAGGTTGATCCTTATAAAACTTCCTTTTATTAGGTAAAAAAAAATACCTCATATTTAAACAAGGATG